AGACTGCAGAGTCCTGGCCTGACGAGGTAGCTGTTCTGTGTTGTGCCATCCGCTTCACCAGAGTTTGTTTGGTTTCCCTGATGTATAAATCCTGGCAATCCTCCTGGCACTTAACAACGTACACTATGTTACTCTGTTTGTGTCTGGACCAATTTCTGGCGCAGTTTTTGGGGTTTAAAAGCCACAGAGACACTGTGTTAAACTGTCAATACTCCTGACACATACGGGAATGGCTGCACTACGGGTTTTTGCTGAGCTTTCTTTAGGTGCCTTCCCAACAGATTTGTAGACACTTGTGAGTTGATAATTATGATTTGTATCATTTATATAAATGGTAAAAAAAACAAAAAGTCTCAATTTAAACCTTTTTTTTTTTTTTTTACCTGTTGTCCATGTCCAGCATCGCAGCGAGCGGTCTTCAGAAACAGTGAAGAATTGTGGGACCCTTTCCTTGCAAACGACTCCATGAATCGCACCGCTGTGACCGCGAAAGGTGCTAAAGTGCTCCACCTGGAAATAAACCGACATATCTAGTCAGTGAGAAAAATACAACTGAAGAAGCAGCAGGGCACTTAAAAAATTCAAAGAATTTTTTTTATTTGTTTGAGAGACCTGTAAGGGTTTCCAAAATTTCACTGTGCCATCATCCGACGCTGTGAAAACGGACATTTCTTCTGACTTCACTTCCTTCCCTTTGTCTTAAAAACAAAGAGTGGGCTTAGAAATATCAAATATTAATTTCAAAATATGCAGTATTAAGTCAATACAGCGTACTGAATGATGGAAAGAGGAGGAGACTATGTGTGTGATCACTTCCTAGCATGTTTTCTCAGGAGTGGTACCTGTATTTGGGAGGAGAGAGCAGTGGTGTATGCGTCTCATGTGAGCAGAAATATGGCAGATTTCAGTGTTTGTTTCCCACTTCCAGACATGCAGTGCCCCCTCTGCACAGCTGGCTATCACATATTGTCCCTGCCCATAGAAAACACGACAGAGCAGGTCAACAAAGAAAATAATTTTTAAAACCAAAGAAAAAAGACAATTTTGTGCTATAGTTTCTTTACATTGTACACAATATAGAGACCTTATTTACTTAAAGCTGCATAAGTGACTCACCAGACAGCAGACAGAGGTAAGTGGACTTGTCCAGGAGATTTCCCTCAGACACTGCCCAGCCTGAAGGTCCCACAAACAAAGTCTGCCGTCATTTGAAGAGCTTAACTGGAACAAAAACAAAAAACACATTTTTGAAAGCACTTGTATGTTACTTAGATGTAATTATCAGATATGCGTGTCTGTGCATTGCTCCCAAGCTTGCTAGCCCTAGCCTTAGCTGATAAATTAATACTCCATCTTCTTAGCCAAATGTGGACACTTTAGGCTAAAAAAAACAAAACAAAACAAAAAAACAGAAAATTTGTTTAAAAAAAACAAACAAACACATAGACCCCACCCACCCAAAAAACAACAACAACAACAACAACAACCCAAACATGTACAGCAACCTTCTTCGATACACTGTTTATTAACTAAATGAGCCAAATTTTTCCACAAAACCTTTCTACAATGTAGCTGTACAGCAATTCTTGACTAAGTTTCTTTATTTTTTATTTTTAAATTGAAAGACTTGACCATAAACAGTTTAACTATCATGAATACAGTACATACGACTAAAGAATGTTTACATGAAATCTTGTGATGCCACCTGTTGCCTTTCCTTAGTTGCCCTGTTGAATTTGATCTTGTTGTACTGTGAGGTAGCAGTGCAATATGGAGTCAGGTGTGAGACATTTTAGCACCAATGACACTAAACAGGGGAGAAAATTTTCAAAGCACCACTCAAAACCCTGACAAGGATCAGGCAAAGGCCACTATTTGCATTTTTCTTTCCACTGGCCTACAATAACTGTGATTGTAGTAAAGGACAAAGGACGCTTGTTTGGTTGGTCTCGACATGCCCCCATCCCCATTTTAATATAACATCACAGCTTTGTATATATAATTATTTTGATCTCTTGGCTGTGGACCACAGATCTCACTTTCAGAACCACTGCTTTATGACACAAACAAAATATGAAAAGAAAAAAAAAAAAAAAAGACCGACCACACAGTCTGGAGTCCAAACGCAGCCTGTGACCCAGTCTCGGTGAGCATGAGGCAGAGTCTTAGAACGAACAGCAGGAGCAGTCACATCCCACACCATCAGAGCCTGAAACAATCAAATGTTTATGAAACAGATGAAGAGAAAACCAATGTAGCT